CCTTAGACATTCATTCATAACATCCTCATGACATTCATATATAGGAACTTGAGGTGGGCACATGGCCATGGGTGGTGGGACGACCTTACTCTCACCCCCTGTGCCTGTGCTCACTTACAACGGTTGCATTTAGACACTAGGGTTTGGATAGAGTTGGGGTGGAGGGGAAACTGGCATCATGCCAGCCTTTGCTCCTTCTTATTTCCTTTTTAATGGCACTATACAACAACACACATCAACAGCACATCTAGGGGCGGGGGTGTATGTGTCGGGGTCTTATTTTTTATTTATTTTTTCCTCCCCCACTAGTTCCCTAACTGCCATTCCGGGGGTGGGTTCCGGGAGAAGGGAAGGCCGTCGGGTGTTGACCAGGATTATGTGGGGGTTCAGGGTCTAGGGGGTTGCCGTGGGCGGTGCTGGCGCTGTGCTCTCCCTGGGGTTGTTTGGACCCCCTGAGCTTGGCTCTTGGGTGCCATGGTTGGCCCGTTGGCCGGGGTGGCTGCCGGGGCCTGGCGGGCGGTCAGCTGGGGGCGCGTGCTTGGTTGTTGGCGGTGTGTGGGGGTGGTCGGTGGCGTGTCCTCTTCATGGTGGGGGGGGTATCCTGTCGGCGGGACATGGCCTGGGCCGGGTCTGGGGTATTGGCTCTTCTCCGCTCGAGAATGAATGGGTTTACCTCCTGGGTTTGGGCATGGGCTGCCCCCTGTAGAGGGCGGGTACATGTCTTGGACCTGGGGGGTATAGAGTGCGTATCGGGAATAAGAATGAAATGTATCGTTATTGTATGTCTTTGAGTGAGTGAATGTGAGACTGAGGTTGGGATTGTGTGATTGTGTCTGTGTATGAATGGGTATTTGTTAGGTCAAGACTCGGACTGCCCCCTCTTTGATACAACTGGGGGTGCTTGGCATCGCGCCCCTATCGCGCGGCCCCCTGGTGGGGTGTGCCCTTGCCTGCCGGCGCGCTTGGGGCCCTTGGTGTCGGGGGCTGGGCGCTTGGGCGTGTGTCGGCTCGGCCTGGTGTCTGCCTAGTGGGGCTCGGGTCCTCTGGCCCTGTCGGGCCTTGGCCTGGGTGGTGTGAGTCCTCGGTGCCCGGGCCTCGGTGCCCGGACCTGGACCTACATCGGTGCGGCGGGTTCCGACAGAGGCCTATGAGTTTGTCGCTGTTGGCCCCGGGGAGTCACTGTATGTGGTCGCTGGTGGGGATCTTCCGGTTCTCCCCTGTGGTCTGTTCTGGGGGGTGGGTGAGTGGTTCGTCCTGTGTGGGTGTCTCTGGGGGCTCCGCAGTCGGGGTCCCTCCTGGGGTCTTGGGCTCTGGTCCCCCCTTTTTCATCTACCTCTAGTCTTGGGGGTCTGGTCTTTTCATCTACCTCTGGTCTTGGGGGTCTGGTCTCTGCTGCTTCACAGTTACTATTAAATGTTCTATTAGAGAAGCCTTATACACTTATGCATGCTCACAACCACACACAAATAGAAGCAGGGATGCTTATGTAGGCTTTATATGTAGATATATAGATATGTATGTGAATGTATATTCATGTGTATGTATGTATGTATATAGGCGTAGGTATGGGTATATATATTTATGGAAACTTACTGCAAAGCCATGAATATTTTAAGTTCTTTATACATATGTATTTTGTTGCTGTGTTTTGTCATGTTCTTTGCAGGTGAACAGACAGTGGCCGGGTGTTTTGCCGTGTGCTCTCTTTATGTAAATTTCTTATATTTTGGAGTCTTACTTTGTCTTTTCTTTCTTTCTATCCTATTAAAAAAAAAAAAAAAAAAACTACACTAGATAGTCACTAGAATAAATATTTCATAATAATGGTGTGGAGAGGATGGCTGTAAGGGGAGAAGGGAGGCCATCTAGGGAAAAAAAAGTAATCCACTATCGTCAGTTCGCTCGAGTCAACCTCCTGTGAGTTGTCCAGTTGAGGTTTCGGATCACCGGGGTGACGTACGTCCTCAAGCGACGGTGTAGCTGTGCCGATGATAGGCTGAGGGGGTGGTGCCTCCACACTCTTGGGAGACCCCACAGGGGTGATGGGTTCAAAGATGGGCCGCCCTTCGTTCAAATAGACCGATGCATACACCTCTGGCACTTGTTGTGGTCGTTCTTGCGTCGGTTCTTGAGGGGCTGTGTCTGACCCATCAGGGTGAGTTGGGTATAGGTAGATCCCATCAGGGGTTATCAAGCTTGGCGGGTTGGATTCTTCAGGGCTGGTAGGATCAATAGGGACAGAGCTTGTAGAACTGGTCGGGCTACGTGGACCAACTTCAGTACTCACGAAATGAACAAATTAGGTTTCCAATTGATACAGCTCTGGGCACTCCAGGGAGAGGAGGGGTGGTTCAGGAGAGGCCGCCCTCACATCCATGGGTTCGTTCTTAGGCTGAGCCTCTGTAGGTTGTGGGTCAGGCGAAGTAATAGCTGGTATCTGATGCTGGGTCATCATTATCAGGGTTGGTGACAGATGATGTTAGGTGGGTTTGCACTTTGACCCTGAATTGCTGTCGTTGTGGGAGTCGGGACCAGTGGGAGAGTGGCTCCCAGGTCTGCCCCTAAGGAGGCCGGTAATGTCGGGGGCAGAGGTTCTGATGATCCCTGCGTAATCCCAAAGGATGGGCCATGGACCAAGGGCAGCCCTGTGTACAGATGAATTGCCACGAACCTGGTTGTATCGTGGAGATGTTCCCACAACTTAGTTACCACTGGGTAGTAGGAGGCTCATGGTGGGATAGCTCCCCTTGGCCGATAAGGCACAGAGTTCAGAGCCGAGGTCCAGATGACTTTGTAGGTACGTTCTGTTTCCATGCACACTGCTGCCGATACTTGCGGTAGACTATGTGGCTCATCTGAGACAAGAATGCCATTCACTGCCACCCTGGCCACCAAGCCAGAATGACAGCGCTGGCACCACCAAGACGAACCAACAGCCCAGAGATACTTGGTTTCTGCCAATCCTTTGTGACAGAAACAGCAGGTTACTTCATGCTCCTGTAATGACAAAAGGGGGTAAAACAAGATCTAATACTTCAACAAAACTATTAAAACACATACACACATTTTTTTTTATTTTCCCCGGATTCCATCACTCTTCAGAGGCCCCCAACCGTTACTGGGCCTATACAGGCCGTCAGCCGACATCGAGGACCTCATCAAGCAATGTGACCCGGAGTTAAACATACTTTTTAGATTAATGATTAATAACAGCGTTAGCGGGGGGAATTTAAGCAGTGTTGGTTATATTGATTAAGTTTTGTATCTTCGGAGGATCGACAGTCTCAATCCACGGAGATTCCACGGCCTCCACTCACCTCTGGTGCAGCAGGGAGAGGTTCAGGTCTGGGTTTGAAGATGGCAGCATAAGTCATCATCCAGACTATGATAGGTACTGTGGTACAGAGACCAGTCCAATATAACACTGAACAGACTCCCCAGGCCAGACCCCATCCAATTAGGATAGCTATTTTCATGGTCCAACTGTGTCTATTTTGGGGTCGCAAGGATAGGGTTTGGTGCAGCAGGTGTGCTAGTACAGTGATGGCTATGGCGCCTTACATTATGGCCGTCACGATTTTTCCAGCTGTGTTTCCGCAGTTTGTGATGGGTATGGGCAAGGGGGTGAGTGTGGCCACACACTCAAGGGTCACTACGATGGAATCCACTAGCCGCCAAGCTGAGATCACTGCCTTTTGTCGAAGTGAGGTCTTGACTCTTCCCAATAATTAGGGCCCCACTTGACTTTAACCTGCCATCCAAACACCCGCAAATAAACAATGTTAAAAATCCACGGTGTCCCCATCGGGCTGGGGTTATATGGTAACTCCCACTGGTCGCTTATTAGCATGAAGCCAGGAATATTACGAGTCGGAGACGCCCGGGTGAGATCTGGTTTCCGGAAGGTTTTTACACACGAATTGTAATAATTCTTTGTTTTGTTTGTGAAAATTGAATAATCTCTTCTAGGTCTGTCTAATTTTACCAGCTCACCTCTGACAATTAGAGCTGGTTCGTACAGCCCGGTTCTGGATCTTTGAAATAACAAATCCCACACGTCTGCACGGGGTTGTTGCTTCGATCTTGGGAGGAAGGCTATATCGCCCGGCCAACACATCGGGACGTTCCTCAGCGTGGTTTCGTCCCAAGTCCAACACTTCTCGACGATTTCAGCTGATTTTATTTTATCTCTTCTTCTCCAGATTTGACTAGGGCACCTTATAACGTCTTTTAATAAGTTTCTTTCTGACCTTTTTCTGCGATGAGATCTGTTGATGAGTCTAGCGCCCCTTTGGTCTGTTTTTACTCGTTCGCTTTTTTGTCTGTGAGCTTCCTTCTCCTTGGGAACGTCTTGCTGGCCCAAGCTTTCAGCACACTTCGGCTTTTGTCCGTTTTACTTGGTTGAGACTTTTCTGCGTCGTTTTTACTGTCCTCAATCGGGTGGATGGTGGCTCCAATGGAGTACACTCCCCTGTATGGTGCAATGATCATCTGCACGGAAACTCTAACCCTCTGGGTGGAGTCTGGCCTTATGGGAGTGTCCACCTGTTGTGCAGCCGTTCCGGGAATCTGCAGCACTCCTTGCCTCTCCCAGGCTTCTGGGGTCACTAGATACTCAGCGTTTTTTTGCTTGGGTCTAGCCCCGTTTATAGCCCACACATCTAGGCTGGTGGTGTAGTAGTACAAGTTTGTATGCCTGGTCCCTGCCTCACGAGGAACCTCTGGCAGGTCGATTAATGGGAGATCTTGGTTTAGGATTACCTCTGCAACCAGTTGAGCCCATGTTGTTAGCTCCCAGGGACCCTTCCAGCCACCTTTTTGAGCTTCTTCGTTCACTTCATCAGGCAGCTGGTTTACATCACCACTATCTGTCCCCGACAGGTCCCGGAACACCTGAAGATCAGCGGAAACAGATTAGTGCTGAGAGGTGCGTTTCTTACTTTCTCCATTGAGGGATTATAGGGCCAGGATTGCTGCACTGACTGCTCGAGCAAATCTTGAGGATTCCAACATTTCCCTTTCTGTTTAGTTCTTTCTCCCTCATTTGGTCCACCTATCCCTGGATATAAAGGTGGGGGCGAGGGTGTTGCGTTTGGCCCTTGGTCATACTGTTGCATTTTTGGGGTTTCTTTTGGGGCCTCAGACTTTCTTTCGTCCAATTGTGCTTTAAAGGACTTAAGGGGGTCGAAGTATCTCCTTACTTGCCAACCCATTGCCCTTTCTGAGTGCATCAGCTTACCATCTTGCATTTTTGTCTGACAGCACCCGCAGTACTTCACGAAGGTTCCGTTTCACTCACAAGTACAGTTTCTTGAACCTTTGCCGCTCAAATCCCATTGTGTAATTATAATCATCCGAGGCAAGACAGCGACTCTGCATTCTCCATGAATGAATGCATCCATTACTTTTACAGGTTTTACTTGGAAGTCTCGGACATCTAGCTTACTTGCCTTAGGTTTGAGGGGTTTCCTCTTTCCTGGTCCTTCCCAAAGAAGGGGCAGACCACTAGGTTCCAGGCAGATCACACAGCTGTTCCCTAGCTTGTTCCACTTGATGGTTTCATCTTCTGTCGACAGGTATCCTTTATTAGCATATTCCAATGTTTTCAGGGCCCTACCTGCTCAAAGCTCTGAAGTTGTTCTTCGTAGGATAACTCCCCCACATAAAGTGGCCATTCTAATATGGGGGAGCGTGGTGCTTGGTTCATTGGCCATACTCCGGTTTCTGGTTTCAACTTAGCTAGGAATTGGCTTCAGTTGCTCTATTCCTTGGATCCCTTTCTTTACTAACTCGACTGTGTTTTTGTCTAAAAGTCTCTTCACTCTGTCTGTGGCGTTGTATTTGGGCCTTACTGCAACTGCTGACGTGTGATCCTGTGCTCTGACCCACACCTTCTGCCCCACCTTGAATGAGATTTCAGGGTCTGGCTGTTCCTCTTTATCGCCGGAGCCCCGCCCAGTTTCCTGTGTGGTGAACTGTCGTTGGTTGAGCTCCTCTGAGGGGGAGGGTCTACCAGCTCGACGCCTGTCATTCAAGGCCTGCCCTATTTCCAAAGTTTTAGTACTCCATTCTTTGGTATTAGCATTTTTAGCTATCCAATTTTTGACTAAACCTATGGCTCTTTCGGCTACTACGTTGGCTTGAGGTGTGTAGGGAGGTGAATACACACGTATTACCCCAAAATCTGGCACCAGTGATCCACTTGTGCGTTGCGAAAATGCGTTCCATTATCTGTTCTCAGTTCCTTTGGAACGCATAACGACCCACAGACTTGCTCTAACATGCTAACAACGCTGTTGCCATTAGCTTTCCTTGCTGGCTTCACTACCACATACCCTGACATCGAGTCTGCTAGCACTAAAAGGTATTTCTCTCCCTTCTTGCCCGTGACTCCCATAGGCCCAGCTACATCCGTGCACACTGAGCCCCATGGTATGGTGCTTTTGGTAGTTTGCCCATTCACTCGGTGCCCTCGCCGTCCTGCGTTGTATTGACCACATACTTCACAGTCCTGGAGCACCTTGCAGATCTGTTTTAAAGGGACCCAGAGCTCCTGGCTCTCCAACTCCTTATGTGTAGGTTGCATGCCTGCATGACCGAGGCCTTCATGCACGCCCCGCACAACCTCTAACATGTACTCTTCTGGGAACTCTGACCCTCGGAGGTTCTGTCCCACTTCTCGATCCCGACAAAAACTATTTTTCTCTGCTGGACATAACGATAGACTTCTTCGTTGCCCTGCCAGTATTTTCCTTCTCTAGTGTGGGACTTTTGGTGCTCCACTTCTAACTGTAGATTTAGCCTGAGTTCAGCTATTTTCTTCCTCAAGTCATGGTGAGCCACCACTTTTCCCTTAGCACTTTAAAATCAATTTTCTTCCCAGATGGATAAGTCCTCATTCAGGGCTTGTGCACAGTAATGACTGTCAGTCACTACTTTTGCTATTTTCACTTTTTTGTTTGTCAGTTCCAGTAGTCCTTCGAGTACTGCCATTACTTGTCCTGTTTGCGCACTTCCTGGCACTCTCCCCCTCCTACTGCAGCACTCGTTCCCTTGATATTTGAGGATAAGTCCCCAATGTGCCACCTGATCAGATCCCTTCTTGGATCCATCCGTGTAGAGAGTCCAGTCATGCATTTTTTGTTTCTCAGGTTTCTCTTTTGTCATTTTTCTGCTCGCCGGTCCTATCTCTAGATCGGGGTCTAACAGAATGTCTTCCCATCTACCCCAGCTTGTGTTGGTAGCTTTGGTACTCTCAATTGTCCCCTTTCTGAGATATTTGTGCACTTGGCTCTGTGTTATTACTTTAATAGGCTGTCCCTGAGCCAGATCTTTTAGCGTTCCCCAGTATCTAGCAAGCACTGCTAACTCGTTTTCTTCCTGAGGAAACTTTTTCTCCACTGAGGTTAAAGTGTAACTCCAAAGAGTAACTAAACCTCCATTTTCATTTTT